GGGCCGCTAGGCCGCCACCGCGTCGGGCCGCAGATTTTTGTCTGGCCGCCAAGCCACCAGGCCGCCACCGCGCTAGGCCTCGCTAGGCCTCTCTGAGCCGGGGCCGCCCCCCGCGGCTCCACCCGCGGCCCCACCCAGCCTAAGCCAGGTGGTCACGCGGCCCGTCGCCAGCCTTCTTCGCTCGCCGGCCCTCTCCTCTTACCGAACCCAGGCCGGCGAGCACCCCCCGACCTTCCAGAGGCTCCCCATCCGCTGAGGACCCCGCGGAGGCTACGGAGCTGAAATCGGTAGGTCCGCCATCACACGTGGTGTAAAGAAAGCAAGCCCCTCCTTTCTTTGGCCACTGCTGCATTGTCGTGCATGACAAGGGCACACCGCATCGTCAAACTCAAGTCATTTCAAGCTCCCAATGTGCCCTGTTCCTGTTATGATTTTGGTGGTATTTCAAGTGTCAAAAGGTCATTACAAGCTTCAGGCACTTTCAGATCAAAGCAACTTGCTGTGAACTCGTAACAAACTACAGGGAACATAAAACAGAGCGTTGCAACCATTTCACACTCCTCGATCTCACCCCGTTCATATCGCCATGGTGATGTAGGAAACCTACCCCAGGCTGGTACATGATTTCACCTAGTTCACATGATCTCACCTAGTTCACACCAACAGGAAGTTGCAGAAAACTGCCCCTTGCTGGTGCCCCTAGCTGATATTCTTAAGGATTGACAAGGAGAATCCACCAATAAAAATGCCGTTGCTATGCTATTGCTATGTTATCTTTTGCTGCTTGGAAAACTGTATAAAGCAATAAACACTGCGAAAGGCAGTGAGATATATTGGCATCCTGCTATGACTGGTCTCTAATTCCGACAGCTGGAGGCCCCAGCGAGATTCACCCCCCCCCCCGTGGGAGCAACAGCCAACATACTTACCAGCGTCTGGAACAGACCCCTAGGTGCACCTTCGTCCTCTGGGACCCCTCAGTGGTAAGTATGGGTTGCAATCTATCTCAGCACCAGCAGAAACATGTACAGGAACTTAGATTCCTGCTACATAAATCAGGTGTGACAGCACCTGAGGCAGACATAAGGAAGCTGGTGGAGGAGGTAGGGAAACATTGCCCCTGGTATCCTGAGCGCGGGACGCTTCATTTATGAGATTGGGTAAAGATAGGGCATACTTTACATCTTGAACCCCGGGCTCCAGTAAAGATATTACATCAATGGTATCAGTGCCGTCAAGCAGTAGAAAAATTTCGCTCCGATGCTTCGGAAGGGCAGCAATTAACTACCAGCCCCCCGCCTGATTATGACCAAGTAAAACTTATCCCTCCTAAGGAATCTCTAATTGGATCTTCAGCTCCTTCTGAAGAGGCTAATTCTTTTGCTTCTTCCCAGCCATCATACACCCCCATAAGGAAAATATTAGAGGAACAATTAGAAAAAAAGGGGGGGAAATATAGAAGAAATTAATGATATGCTTTCTGTTTGTCCAGTACACACTACGGGACAAGTTAAATCAGAATGGAGCACAAATAGTGGAATATCGCCCTTTGTCCTATGCAATTTTAACAGAACTTAGAAAAGGAATTAGAGATATGGGGTTGGGCAGCACTTATGTGCAGGGAATGTTGGAAGCCACTATGAGAAATCATATCTTAGTACCTTTGACTTGGCTGGTTAAAGAGCCGGTGTGGATTGATCAATGGCCCATGTCACATGAAAAATTGACGGCTCTCCACCAGCTTGTTAACAATCAGCTGCTTGCTGGTCATGTTGTACCTTCCACTAGTCCGTGGAATACCCCTTTTTTGTCATTAAAAAAAGTGACAGGTGGCGCTTATTGTGTGACCTTAGGGCCATTAATGCCTGTATTCAACCTACGGGTCCTTTGCAGTGCGGGACGCCTAACCCTAATTTGATTCCTCAAGATCATGAAGTAATGGTAATTGACTTAAAGGATTGTTTTTTTTCTCTATTCCCCTATGCCAGGGCTTTTCAACCGGTGGTACGTGTACCACTGGTGGTACGCGACCACCTGGCTGGTGGTACGCGGCGTCGCCTTCCTCCCCCCCACTCCACTCCTTCCCACCTCACTTGTTTGTGGAAAATATGTGGATGCAGGTCAGCCGGATCCGTATCGCCCTTCCCCTCTCTCTTCTTACTTCACAATAATCGCTAGTCTGATAGGAGACAGAGCCGTCCACTCCCTCGGCAGGAAGGAATTTGAGACCGCAGGAAGGGGTTTGAGACCGCTCGCGTCGCAGCCCTGAGCGCGAACATCACAACTGCCCCTCCTTCTTTTCCCCCTTCTCTCTCTCTCTGTTGTGGCCTTACTCTCTTCCATCTTCTTTCCCTCCCCCCCCCCGCGAGCTTACGATACCCCTCAGGGCCCTCACGTTGCCTCCCGGAGGACTCAGCTGTTCAGCGGCCAGAAGTCGGAGCTGCTCAGCTGTTGGTTGGGACGCCCACGGAGCCGACACCCACGCTGCCAGGTAGAACAGTGCCGGCCGCTGGTCTCCTTTGCTGCCCTGCACATCGTCCTCAACCCCTCCCCCCGCACGTTCATGTCGAGCCCGCTTGGCTAGGCTAGGCAAAGAAAAGCCACGGAGCCGTGAGCTCAGATCGCAGGCAGGCTGGGGAAGGGGGTGAAGAAGAGGAAGGGGATTGGGAGAGAGGAAACACCAAGCTTGTCCTCGCCTCTCCCAAGGACCTCCTGCGCCACCTCACAGGAACACCTGGTTTCAGATTTACGCCGCAAAAGTTTTTCTCGCGCAGAGGAGAGAGGAAAAACAATTGCGGAACACTCAGGAATCCCTTGTAAGGCACCATGTACCTTGGCGCTCATTTCCTAATGCCTTCCCCCCGTGTTTTCTGCTCCACCCCAAATTCGCCTCCCTTCCACTCTCCTTACGCAGCCATCTATCGTCTTAATACAGCCCTATGTCTATCTCGCTTTCAACTCCCCCTAAAATTCTTCATTCAGGCAGGCTTCCAGAGTTCGGCCGGCAGGATGCAGGTAACCCCTCCCCCCCGTCCTGCCACCTCCCATGGCACCGCGCCGCTCCGCGTCCTGCAGCTCCGTGTCTCAAGCCTCCATGGCATAGAACCGCTGGCGTGGTCCTCAATGGCCGCTGACACGCTCCCCACCGCCGGCAACCATGCAAGCCCTGGCAATTAATCCAGCCGAAGAAGCGGGTGGCTGGGAGGCCGCCGCGGCGCCGATCTTCTGCGCCCGTCAGCTGGCGACCCCCCGAATGTGCGCTTGTCAGCTGGAAGGTCTGGTGATGGAGCCGGCCGGCGTGGAGGGCGATGGGGAGGCGGCAGCTCGGCGAGCTGGTTCCCGCCTGCCCGCGAATGTCGGGCCCACGGGGCTCGACACAGAGTCGACGGTCCGACATAACTTCCCTCCTTGAATGAGAAAGAAGGAATCTCTCCCGCCCGTGTCCCTTCCCCCCCCCTCAAGTGACAACAGGAGGTTGCAGACAACTAAGTCAGCCGGTGCAGGAAGCCCTGGAATGGCCAGTCCAGGGCGCCTGGTTGCAGTGCTGGATGTCTTTTGCTCCTCCTAGAAGCCGGTGGCAAGAGAAAGAAGTCGTTCAAACTTCAAGCTAGCTACTGGATGCCTATTCGCACTTCCCCCCCCCCCATTTTTTGAGTACTTGTCTGCCAACCCACCCCATCTGTAAAAGAAAAAGTCTTCCACCCAAGCATAACTTTTAAGGATTTTAAGGATCTTTGAGAGGAAGAGAGGGAGAGAGAAATAGAGGGAGAGAAAGAGGGAAAGAGAAATAGAGAGAGGGAGAGAGGGAAAGAGAGAGGGAGAGAGAGAAAGAGAGAGTGACGGAGAGAGAGAAAGAGAAAGAGGGAGAGAGAAAGAGGAGAGGGAGAAAGGGAGAGAGAAAGAGAGGGAGAGAGAGAAAGAAAGGGAGAGAGAGAGGGAGAGAGAAATAGAGGGAGAGAGAAAGAGGAAGAGAGGGAGGGAGGGAGAGAGAGAGAGGGAGAGAGAGAGAGAAAGAAAGAGGGAGAAAGAGGAGAGAGGGAGAGAGAAAGAAAGGGGGAGGGAGAGAGAGAAAGAGAGGGAGAGAGAAAGAAAGGGAGAGAGGGAGAGAG